TATCTTAAATATATATATATATATATATATATATATATATATATATATACTCTTTATGACTCATTAATCTATTCGATGTGTGACTTTAATTATGGGTTACAATTAGATATAAGAGAAATATATATTTTTTGACTCGATGTGGGACTTTGATTTTAGAAGCAATTATAGTAACATATTTCAAAAAAATGTTGCAAAATAACTTATCTAAATTTTTTTTACTAGATATGAGACTTTGATTTTGAAAACAATTGGAAAGAATAATATTGAAATAAAAAATGTTACTCTATCTATAATGACATTTTTCAAAAAAGTGTTACAAAATAACATTTATATAATCACTAGTGGAAAAAAGACTTTTAAAATCGGTTATTTTTCACTTTTAAAATCGGTTCTGTAACCGATTTTGAAAGAGCCGATTTTAAAAGTTAGATTTTTAAAATTGGTTAAACAACCGATTTTAAAAGTCATCTTTTAAGATCAGTTGTTTAATAACCGATCTTAAAAGTCTGGCTGGGAAAAAAAATTAAACTGGAACGGACCATTCCAGTCAAATCAAAAGGCTTAAAATTTAATTCTCAGCACGGCCCGTTCCCAATAGAGAACGACCCGTTCTCCCTTGAGTACAGGCCGTTCTCCAGGGAGAACGGCTCGTTCCCAATGGAACGTCCCATTCTCCTTGGAGAACGACCTGTACTTAAGGGAGAACGGCCCGTTCTGCAAGGAGCACGACCCGTACTCAAGGGGAACGACCCGTACTCCTTGCAGAATGGCCCGTTCTCCTTGCAGAACGGGCCGTTCCAGGTTCGAAATTTAGCCAAGCTGAGCCTACAACAAAAATAGAGACGAGAAAAGCATGAAAAAATGAAAAGAGACATAACAAGAATTTGAGAAGACGAAAATGAAACAAAAACGACAAAAAAATTTACCTTATTGGAGACTTTAGAAAATGAGAGCGTCACATATTAAAAAAAAAGAATAGAGGGAAAGATTAAAGAGAATGAGAATGGAGGGGAATATAAAAGATTTCTGACGATACTTTTAAAATCGGTTATTGAAGAACCGATTTTGTATACTATATACAAAATCGGTTCTAAAATAACTGATTTTAAAAGTAATACTTTTAAGATCGGTTCTTAAATAACCAATTTTAAAAGTAGCACTTTTAAAATTGGTCATAGAATAACCGATCTTAAAAGTACTTTTATGATCGGTTATAACCGATCTTAAAAGTGAAACTTTTAATATAGGTTATTTGATAACCGATCTTAAAAATGACACTTTTAAGATCGGTTCTTTGGTTATTTTATAACCGATCTTAAAAGTACTTTTAAGATCGGTTATTTGATAATCGATCTTAAAAGTGTTCATGTTATTTACAAATTTGCCACTGCGTCACTTTTAAGATTGGTAAACAAGAAAATGTTGCTAAAGGATTAAAATCTAGTAGTGGAAGGTTGAAGAAGGTTAAGGACTTCAAGAAAAGAAAACCCAAAGGAGCAAGATAGTGGTATGTGTCTCTCTCATAAGCCTCTTCTAGTCACTAAGCAAGAAGGATGAAAAGAGCCACAAAGCCTCAAGCTTGCTCAATGAGGCATTAATCTAGCCACTTAGTGAGAGAGTCCCAATACCCATGAAGTCTCATGCTCACTTAATGATATGTACTCAATGAACGAGAGCGCCCCAAGAGGCCATAGAGTTTCAAGCTTGCTTAACGATCGAATCTAGTCACTAAGTGAAAAGTAAGCCATCTACACCATTTTTTATTTTCACTTGGCGAGTCCCTCATGCTCATTGAGCAAAATTAGCTTGACAACTGTACACTTTAGATAAAAAGAATTTTCTTTTTAGGGCAGACTTGGGTATTCATAATCATCATTCATTACACTGTAGACAAGATTGATGGAGGACCATCCTTGAAGGCCCACTAGTGCAAAATAAGGTTACTACGTCACCCCTTTTACGTCAGAAATCCTAAAATTCGACGTAAAAAAAATACGGTGGCATTTTTTTAATTTTCGCGAACTTTTTTACGTCGGACCTGGTAGGGTCTGACGTAAAAAGTCAAATCTATGTCGGATGTATGTTGTGTCCGACGTAGATTTGACATTTTACGTCAGACCCTACCAGGTCCGACCTAAAAAAAGGACACGAAATTGAATAAGAGAGTGCGAGGCACACCGCGCGCATTCACTCTTCATCACTTTTCGTTTTTTTTCTCTGTAAACCCTCTCCCTCTCCTTTGTTACTAAATCATTTTTTTGTTTTCTGCTGAGTGGGGTGAACTCTTTGTTACTCATTCGCACACTATTGCAGCTTATCAGGTATGAATCAGGGTTTCATTAACACTTTTTTGCTTCGCATTGCTATTGTGGCTATCTGTTCTATTCGATTTTTTGGTTGTTTTATTTGTACGGGCTGTTGGCCTTTTTTTTTGTTGTTCTATGAAGCAGAACGGCGCGTTCTGCTTTCACTTGTTATTTTTTATTTATTTTTTTACTACTTTTTTTACGTCGAACCTTGGTAATGTCCGACGTAAATTTACGTCAGTTTCACACTGTCTACGTAGATTTACGTCTCCCGCATCTACGTCGGTATTTTTTCTGACGTAAAAAGCTAAAAATAGCCAACGTGGAATACCTCTTTTGTACTAGTGGCCATAGGACCTTTGACAAGGTCTATAGTTAAGAGGCTAGAAGAAGATACTAGAAAGGATGTTCTTTTTATACATGTGTTTATCATGAGCATAGAGTATATATTCTCTTCCTAGTTGCATAGCCTTCTATTGTATATACTTTGTATAGTTTGTTTTCCATTTCTTTGTATATAGTAGTTAAATTTATAAGTTGTTTTCACCCTTGTATTTAGGGGTGTATGTTTCCTTGTTTGTAGGTCATTCCTTTAAGATTTAGAGACATGTTCTTTATTGAAATGTATTTCTTTTCACCTTGTATTCATGGTCATCATTTTTATTTTTAATTTATTCCTATATTTATTAAATTTTATCTTTATTTGTGAGCCTTTATATACTTTACGTTAATAGTATATATATATATATATATATATATATATATATTGAATTTTATTAATAAAATTGAATTAAATATTTAATTTCATGAGTAACTTGAAATGAATATGATATTAGATTTTTCAAGATTTAATTAACGTTTAATTACCTTTTGATTCTTATAGTTTCATAGTATTTCTTTATAGTTTTTAAAATTTTTTTCCCTGTCATGTATTTTTTTTTTTGGGACAGAGGGTTTATACAACTATATGGTCTAAAAAATAAAATGTATGCAATTGTGGGGGCTAAAATAGAAAATTTATTCGACTACAAGGATTAAAATAAAAAGAATATTATATCTATAAGGAGTAAAATCTTTTTTTTAATTATATAAACTAAAAGGTAAAGTTAATAAAACTATAGGAACTAAAAAATAATTAAACCTTTAATTTACTTTTTGGTTTCCATAGTTGTAATACAAATTTTACCTTTAAGTACCTAAATAT